ATCCAGGGCGGTAAATGATTGCTGCAACTGTTGAACAATCTACTCAGCCCGGTCATCGTCGCAAACATCTATCGCAGTACGGGGGTATCAGCTGGTGGCTCATGTTGCAGGTCCGGGTGGATGTCAACATCATCCTCATGGCCTGCCTCATCCTGGTTATCTTGTCGTCCTTGTTTGTACTGATTGACTTTTCTCCAAGAGTTTTGGGTGGAAAGAATGTTGATTGGGGCAGCATGACGTATTACCTGCTCAGCTAGTAGGAGCTACACTCCGTAAGCCCTGCAAATTCCACAGATAAGGCTTGGAAATATGAGTGTGTGTCGTGGGTCTACTTCAGCAACGTGGGCACAAATCAAATTATAGATTTGAGTGCCCAAGTCAAATTTAAGCCCTCTAGCTAGATGGTAGAGCAAAGCAGCTTTAGTGTGATCGAACTTAAAACGATGCTTGGAGGGATCAACATTGTGGCAAACAAACATCATCAGAGCCATGAGGGACTCTGTTAAATTACTGTATAAGAAATCTGGTTGACGGAGCGGCCAGGCATTTGCTCTTCCATACATAACATGTGCTAACTCTGGCCAATTCTGCTCTGGTGGTATCAGGATGATTTCTTCTCGATTCAATTCAAGATATTCATCAATAACCTCGGGTGTGAACATAAACCATTTATCCTGCACCCAGGTTCGGTGCTGGTGATCGGTCCCAGGCTCGTCGATGGAGAAGTTGAAATTTGTGTAGAACTCTTGAACAAGTGTAAGATAAATAGCAAATGGTTTAGCTATCACCTTTTCCCAGCCCGTACGATGGATTAATGTCTCAATTTCAAACCCCGAGAAATCTTCCAAAACCACTTCCCGCTCGGGTAAAATAGTCCATTTGGTGACTACTTACTCAAATCGAAGCTTATGCTCGGGGCTAAGGAATCTTCGCACGCCACCTTCATCAACCCGAGAGCGGCCTAGGTTGGACAAAGAAAAGGCTTTGCCTTTCCCCTTTGAAGTGAATGGAGTGTCGCGTGTGCATTTGGGAGGCATTCTTGCAAAAGGCACAAAATAAGCAAATGAGATAGATGAACGGGGTAATTGTTATCAAGAGAATACTAGGATTGGATAATTGTGTCATTACTTTGAAAAGTGTCCAAATTACACATTTGAAATTAATTTCCCCTTATTCAATGTGAACCTTAAAGTGTGTGTGTGTGTGTGTGTGAATATTAATGTAAACATCACAACACTAATAACTAGTTTGATTCCCAAACTGCAGTAGTCAATTATTTCCTTTCCTCAATCGTAAGATACACACTTCCAAACTTATGATTTTTGCTCACTTTTCCCGAGGTATGCACTAAGGTTGATTTCTAGCTAATTCTAATCCTTACCCTCTCTCATTTGGATAGATCTTAACTAATATAGATTCCCATCTCGATTCATAAGGATTCTCCCCTATTTTTTTATTACTTCGGCTTCTAAGACTCAATTGAGCTAATGACCCATTGTCAAAGGTACAAGTCCCTAAAATAGTTGTTCGAGGCTTAATCTTGGCACTTGGTGTGTCTTCTGTTTCATGCACCTGCTCATTCCCAATATATATATATATATATATATATATATATATATATATATATATATATATATATA